GCTGTCTAAAGGTCTTCTCGGGTGCTATGGCTAAGAGTGACAGGAAACACAAAGGCACTAATATCCAAAGGAATGAGCCGTGAGCCATTTTCTGGCCCTAACATAAAACATTCTAACTAAAAACAAGAGATCAGATTTGGCCAACAGGCAAGCAAGGAAAGCATTCTTGTTTGAAAGGAGGAATCTAAGATGAGAATGAGTGTGAAAGACTAAAACTTGTAGAGATGGACAAAGGTGTTCTCTTGTCAAGAACAAAAGATGAGACCATGTATAACAACGAGCAGGTGTTTTGTTTTACTGTTTAATAATTACAGCTAATATTTATATTGCACTTAGGTGTCAATCACTGTTTTCAGAACTTAACACTCATTAATTCCAGGGATTCTCACAGCAACCCAATGAGATGAATACTATCACTGGAAAACTGAGGCAATTCGACCACCATCATATAACTAGAAACTGAACCCAGGGAATTTGCCCTTCAGCCTAACACTAAGAGGAATTGCATTTAGCTGTGTTTTGTTCTTGTTGATTTTATTAACAACAGATTCAAATGGGAATTTAGAATCATTTCTTCTAAGTTGGAAACACATGCCTTATCCTTAATTCACACCTTGGAAAATTTTACTTTTAACTTCTTGGTTGTGCTTCCTTGTGACCCAAAATACAATTTGAAGCTATAAAATAATTATGACTACTGGCTGATAGATTTAAACAACTGCTTAACTTGTACAAACTCAGAACAAATTAAGGCTGAAGTATCTTTCTTATAAAAATTTTACTTATTTTATATGTAAGAATTTGTTTTTGTTCTTGTTGAACTCCGGCACTTAGAAATAGACATATTTATTTAGTTTGGCCTGGATTTAGTATGTGTTGCTTGGTCTATTCTTTTTAGTTTATTGTATCTCTTAATCTTCTACACATGCAACCAGAGACCTCAGTGATGAGGGCATTGGAAACATCTAAACAAACAATAAATTCTGGCTACAAGATTCCCCATAAATGGAGTCCTTAATAAAATAATGCTTGGAAACGTGATGTTGGAATGATTAGATCTTTATGAAGTCATCAAATTATAAATTTTCAGTGCTTGCCATAACTGGCAACATTTTCTTCCTGTGGCCTGAAACATTTGTGGCCAGTATTTTGTACATGATTAAACTAAAATAGTTCCTTGTTTTGAGAAAAAAATGTGATTCAGTATTAGATGGGTCAAATAAACCTAGGAGCCATGATGTTTTCTTCCTAACCCTGAAGCTTCAATTACTTCTCACGAATCCTCTTTTTTCCTTGAATTGTACAAACAGTTTAGTCATTCAACAAGTGTTTATTAAGTACCCACTGTGCTCTAAAGGACTGAGGAACATATTTTAAGTCAGAAAGACAGAACCACTGTACTCACGAAGCCAAAAATCAAGAAGAAAAGATGTAGTAACAATAAAGCATGAAAGGTAGAAGCACAAGATGCAATGGAAATGCATAAAAAGAATATAAACCTCAGAAGATATGCACCCAAACGTGGAACTGGTTCTTCTTGTGTGATAAGATTTTGGTTAATTTCTTCCAATTAAATATCCTATTTCAAGTTTAATTTAATGTGCCAAAATATTTTTATAAAGGGAATTTTTTAAACAAAACATATTTTCAGTCCATTCAAATACTAACTTTTAAGATTTTTGACTAATATAAAAAATGAATATTCATGTTTATTCTGTTATGAAGCACTATATTTTAGGCAATGATGCTAGACCTTATTCAGTCTAATTAAGCCCTTCCTTCAATGATGCCACCATTGCCTGCCTCAGATAAACATCCTTCCCAATCTAAAAAGGTCTTGGGCAACCCTCACCTCCATGAGATCTCATTACCTCATTCTTCCTCCTCTCAACTTCATGAGTAGAAACTAAAAAATATAAATTATATTCATGTGAAACTTTGCAGTGGTTCTCAACCTTCCCAATGCCACAACCCTTTAATACAGTTCCTCATGTTGTGGTGACCCCCAATTTCATTGCTACAAATTGAACATAATTAAAGCATAGTGGTTAATCACAAAAACAATAAATATGTAATTATATATGTGTTTTCCGATGGTCTTAGCGACCCCTGTGAAAGGGTCGTTTGACCCCCCCAAAGGGTTCGTGACCCACAGGTTGAGAACCGCTGCTTTAGAGATTCCATGAATTTATCCTCTGATTCCCTCTCCAGAATCTCTGATGTCAACTAAACAATGAATGGATCACATTCATTTGTATAAAAGACATCAACCATTATAACAAGATAGAAGAGCATGATTATGTCCAAAGGACAATATGACTTAGAAGGAAACCAACCTGAAATAGCAACTGGAACCTTTGCAAATGCTCTGCTGTTGATATCTATTTGACAGAAAATTTTTTCCCCAATTTGAAGGTAGAAGTTTGTGGTCCTTATCCCTTTGTAGTGCTACAAGTAAATCAAGAATAATTTATTTAGGTCTTAGATACATCTTCCAAATAATGAAGGTAGTAACACATGTTTATTACAGGAAACTTACAAAGTCCAGAAAATGTTTAATGAAGAAAAATAAAATTTTGCATAATCCAACTGAAAATGCTCATGTTTTACCTTAAGTCAATGTACAGTTGGTTTTATACTGGTTGTACAGTATACCTTACTCTTTTCACTTAACATTGCGTTGGTAATATATCATTGATTTTGTTAAAAAAATATTTGTCATGGCTTTATAATAGTCTATTGAGTGGATATATTACTTATTTAACTCTTATTTCTATATATTTAGATGGCTTCTGTTATTTTGCTATTGTTATAATGAATGACTTATACAGACATCTAAAGGACTCTAATAATAATAAACTAAGAGCAAATAAAAAATTTGAAGTTACTGGGCACATGTTTCTATAGGTTAAGAATTAGAAGTTATCATTGGCTTCCCATCTTTACGGTGATTTTTTACTTGATCAACTAAATAATACCTAGACTTGTCAGTGCATCAACCTTTTATGTTATCTATTTTCAAATCAATTTTTAATATTCTACTTTAGTTTAAAAATTCTTAAAGTAACTTGGAAGTTTTGCCTCTTCAATGGAATATGTATTATTTGTCTTTTCTGCCCAGCATATTACCCCAAAATTTAGCTTTTAGGATTTACAATCTCATATAGTTCTGTGGGGCAGACAACCAGGTGTGACTTGGCTGGGCAGTTCTGATTGAGGGTCTCCTAAAAGGTAAAACCAAGTATCATATTGTTAAATGGTACATTTATAAGAACTAAAAGGATGAAGTAAGAAAGCATATGGTGACCCAAAGTTCAGGAGAGCTGAAGCTTGCTGAGGGGAGGGACAGAATGCGCTTAGAAAAGCCAGCAGGGTACTCTGAGGAACTGGCAACATTTTCTCCTTTAACCTGTATTGATGAGTACAGTGTTTGCCTTATTTTTTAAATCTACATAAATCTTTTTATACTCTTCCTTGATAGGATACATTTTACAATAAAGCAAATGAAAAAAAGCACATCATAGCGTCAAACTATTTCAATACTACTTTCAGCAAGAGAACTGTATTGAGCACATAAGCACTCACTATTCAAGTGATTTTTTTTCCCATTTACTTCTCAAAACAGAAAGAAGGTATTTTTTTCTTTTTTTTTCCCTCATTTGCCAGATGAGAAAACTTAAACTTAGAGAAATGAAAACACGTGCCCAAGGTCACACAACCAGAGCGTCAAGGAGCTGAGATTTGGACCCAGATGGAAGATTCTGGGGCCAAACATCCTAACTGTTAAGTTAAAACTAGGATTTGTGCCTAGATTTAGCTCTGCGTGTAAAATGATGAAATGAAATGCTAAATTGCTTCAGTGTTGGAAAGAGACCTGAATGGATAACTCGTCTCCCGCACAGGTGAATGGGCCAACTCTCACACCCCTCAAGGTTCTTCCATCTCTCTTCACTGTTCCCTGATGATGAAACACCCCTCGCCTTTGTACCAGGATTCCAAACGAATAATACGGCACATTCATTGAGCATCTACTCGACGTCAGGCACTCATCCAAGTGCTGTGATGCTTTAGCTCATTGGGCCCTCACAGCCACTCCTGTGGTACATGTTACTATGATGCCCATATTACAGATGAGAGAACAGGCCCAGAGAACATTGTTTCCAACAGTTACACAGCTTGTATGTGGCAGCACCAGGGTTGAAGCCAGGCATTCTGGCTTCAGAACCTGTGTTCATAATCACTAATATACTGCCTCCCCGGAAATATCCTGCTTAGAGGAAGGGATGAAGAAAAAAACTGGCTCCTTTTCTAATGAAACCTTCCTGGTGTTCTAAAGAATTTCCATTAGCAGATTTTCTTAAGGTGCCAGAAAAATGTGACATGTGACATGTGTACTAGGAAGAAACATGATGGCTTCACCTTGGAGAGAGCAAGAACAATATAATTGCACCTGAGTTTTTAATTTAATCTTGTTACAAGCTCACTGTCTTTTATTACCTTAAGCCAACAAGAGTTAATTCAACGAGTTAACAGACTTACAGGCATTTGATTCACATTTACTTGAAGTCATTTTTAGGAATGATGATGGTATTTTATACATTAATCTAAATCTGGGGGCTCCCACTATAAGTAAGGCTCTCGCACAAAAGACATCAAGTTGAAACATACACACTCTCTGCCCCCAGGAGTCCACGCCCTGGCGGTGGACAAATAATTACAGTGCATAGAAACATCATTTAATACGTTAGGTTCTAAAACGGGGATACGCTCTAGAGGTGACGGACTCAATTTATGGTATCCTAAAAAATAGATGACTATTGAACTGAGCCAGGCAAGATCAGTGCACTTCCCTAGATGGAAATAGAAAGGAAGGGCATTCTTGGTAGAGAGCACAGCACAGACAAAAGTCTGGAGGCATAAAAGAATATCGCATGTGTAATTTTTTTTTGCTGCCAGAGTGCAAATTGTTTAGGGGAACATGGTGGGAAAAGACTCTGGAGACATCAGTTGGCAGAAGATTATGAAGCCTTTGCCTGACTCAATGGTTATGCTTGAGTGCAATGGGGAGTCAAAGGTTTTTTAGGCAGGAGAGGTGAAGCGAGGAGGGCTGGGTTAAGGAGGGAGAGCCTGGCTACAGAGAAACCAGCCTGAAGGCTATTTTAACAGTCCAGTTGAGCAGTACCCAAAATCCGAGCTAGGCAACCTTATAAAAATAAGGGGCGTTTTAAACCCCATGATACAGGTGAGAAAATCAAGGCATGAAGGAGTAATTTGGCCAGTGTCACACGGCTCACACTCAGAGGAGCTAGGATTCAAATCCAGGTAGTGGGACTGTAATGCCCCCTTGCACATGTCATGACACTGCCAGGCTGGCTGATGGTAGGTGAGACAGGACAGAGTCGAGGCAGCTAGAAAGCCTTTAGCTTGAACGGCTGAGAGGAGTGGAGAGTGCTCCAGGAAGCACTGTGTGGACCACACAGGAGAAGCAGGGCAGGCGAGGGATCCAGGAGTTCCGTCTCAGAGGTGGTCCAGGAGGTCCGAGAGCCCGGCCAGAACACCAGGGAACTGTTGGCAATGCCAGGCTGGTAGGCTTCAGGAGAGCTGGCGTAGACTGGAGAAAGTCAACCGGACATGGAATATCAGCACTAAATAGACACCATGCCACCCAGCACCCTCACCCTGAACCCGCAGAACCTGAGGCCATGAGAGGCAGCTCAGAGCGCCAGACTCATGTTCAAATTCCAGACTAGCTGTATGTTGTGGGTATGAGTTTCTTCCCTTTGCAAACCAGAGTTTTTCCCTTATAAAGGGAAACCTTAATATTTCATTTGCCACTGGTTATAAGGATTTAAATTAATATGTATCTGAAGCACCTAGTTTATTATTCTCCAAAAGTAAGTGCTCAATAATTGGTCATAATGATTCTTTTTTTTTTCTTTATTGATTATGGTGTTACATATGTGTCCTTATCCCCCTATTGGCCCCACCACACACACACACACACACACACACACACACACACACACACACTCCTCCACTCATGCCCTCACCTCCCTGGTGTCTGTGTCCATTAGTTAGGCTTATAAGCATGCATACAAGTCCTTTGGTTGATCTCTCCCCTTTACTCCCACCCTCCCCTACCTTCCCTCTGAGCTTTGACGGTCTTATCGATGCTTCTCTGATTCTTATCATGATCATCACTTAAAGGATTTGTCCAAGGGGAGGCTAGAGTGTGGGGAAATGCTCTGGGCTGCCAGCCCAATCACTCTCTTGGCAATTTTTCTCATAAAATTATCTTACCTACATGGAATTTTCACTAATTTCTCAACCCAAGAAAAGAAGTTCTTTTGAGGAACATGAATTAACCTCTTTTTTAAAATCAGTTTTCTCTCAGCCAAAAGAAAATCCTAGAGAATCAGTAAATTACGTACAGACATATATAATGAAATATAAAATATTGGTTGAAAATACATCTAGTGCCACATTTTCCTAGCGTCTTCGATGACTAAGGCAAAGTTGAGGTGTGGCTCGTTGCATCTAAAGAAGAATCGGGGCCGAGGAGCGATAGGAAGTATGTCCTCAGCCACGGCCACCTCCCTCAGGACCTTTCATTGTGACAGAGTCTGCATTCACAAGGGGCACTTCTCCCAAGAGGTCTTTGAGGAGCCACAGACAATTCCGAGATCTAAACACCTACAAAAAAACTTGGACTTGGGAACACTGCAGAAGCCTTGATCACTGGAGGACATGTAACCTTTTATTTATCACTTTGCCATTCCCAACTCCTTCAGACATATTTTTCTTTGGGGTTCAATGTGGTGACTAATAACATGGTTATTTAGTCAAAGACCTTGGGTTTGAAAAATTACAGTACAGAAGAATTTCTGGTAAAATGACTCCAATTCACATCACTCACACCACACACACACACACACACACACACACACACACACACACACACCACATACACAAAGTTCAAAACACAAATACACTTAAGAGTAAAAAAGGACATTCCAAATAAATGAAATTTAGTGTTTAATTTGATTGCCTCCAAGACAATCTGTTCGGTAAGGATGTGAGCATAAGCAATGTGGAAAAAGTATAAAAAATAAAATAACAGGAAGCAGTGCCAACCTCATCCTCATTAGAAATTAGGATGGCTGTTTCAAGGCAGAAATCTTTTTTTCCTTCCCCACTAAAGGTTCTTGGCCTTTTTCGTTCCCTTCTCTGAACAGGCTGTGCAGTGTCAGACTCTGCTAGTTCTCCATCCTTCCCCGCCTCCACCCCCACCACGTTTATCTGAATATATAAACCTGCCCTTTGCTCAGATTTATGGGTCTGCCAGGCTTGTGTGTATTTACAGTGTTCTGACCTGAAGACCCCAAGCTGAAGGAGAAGAGGAGGAAACCGGGCCCATTCCATAAACAGAGACAGATATGAGGGGGAGGTAAAAGGCTTTGCTAGCACTTAACATTTTTAACTATTTGGCCAAGTTTAAGAATTAGCGATTAGATTAGAGTAAAAGAAAAATGAGAGACATGGGTGCAGACTTGGCAGGGAGCAAGCTGTAGTTCTGCTTTCGTCTGGTTGCTTGGAGGTTCTAGGTTCGGGGGTGAGAGTGAGGTTAAATTTAATGCGGACGGTCTGAAAGAAAATTGATATAAGTCAGACACAAAGGGAGCTATGAAATTCGTTGGGAAGAAGGCAGAGGGTTAGCAAAGAGGAGGATATGAACGACATTTAATAAGTTGGAAAACGTCTCCAACCACAAGCTGAACTCCTTGTGTGAAGCAAGACTACTTGCATTTTTAAAACTGTAATTGGTTATAGAAGAAGAAGAAAAATCTCCTGCTCCATGCTGCAATGAGAACACATTGCCACAGATTACTAAATCCCAATCCATTTTTGAGTTGAAGGATTTTTCTCAGGGCCTGGTGGCCCACTTGAAAGCAATTCCATTTTCAAACAGGACTTCTTGGTAAATGGGCCACCCCTAGGCAAAGAGATGGGTCCATGCTCCAGTTCAAATGGAAAGTAAAGAGCAATTAAGTCTTGAGCAGTGCCTGGCACCCATAAACTGAACCCTCTCCTCAGGGCTGCATCTGTGTGCATGGGCCAAATGCAAAAGCACAACTTCTCCTTGGGCTGTTTTCCAATAATCTACTTGCTGGAGAAACTTGAGTTCATGGAGAAAAGCTCTGACCTACCAGCTGACTAAATTAGAAACAATCAGAATGCTAAGTAGAAGCTACACTATTCATTGAAGTTCTCAAAAGCAAAGCAACCCGGACACCATAGGAAGTGAATTGTCCACAGATCAGTTTACATTGCACTTGCAGTGGTTCTCAACCTTCCTAATGCCACGACCCTTTAATACAGTTCCTCAGGTTGTGGTGACCCCCAACCATAAAATTATTTTCGTTGCTACTTCATAACTGTAATGTTGCTACTGTTATGAATCGTAATGTAAATATCTGATATGCAGGATGTATTTTCATTGTTACAAATTGAACATAATTAAAGCATAGTGATTAATCACAAAAACAATATGTAATTATATATGTGTTTTCCGGTGGTCTTAGGCGACCCTTGTGAAAGGGTCGTTCGACCCCCAAAGGGGTCGCGACCCACAGGTTGAGAACCACTGCTCTAGAGCAAAGAGCTGCAATGGACATGGTATAAGCTGCGGTTTTAGTGTTTCTGAAATACCATGGAATTATTTCTTTTAGCTCAATATATGGCAATCATGTGCCCAGAAAGTTACCTGTTAAAGCATCTGCTATAATTACATTTGTTTGATTGGAACTTTTTGTTTAAGCTAAGGTATGTCCTGGGTAATAAAGAGTGTTATTATTACATCCCATTGCACATGGGTTTATGTGCCTTGGGTTGAAGTATCAGTAATACTTGCATGAGGAAATGCATGTGCTTAGCGCTGTGTGTGGCACTTCAGAAGTGTTCACTGGTTTATCAGTATTATAATGTTAAAAACATTAGTCAGAGATCCAAAGTACAATTCATTCTGCAGCTCACCTTCGAAGAACTTTATTATACAAAAGGCACTGCAATGCATTTTCTTTCCCACCCATGTTTGGCATTTTATGTTTAAAGTTAAACATAAAATTCAGATCCATAGAGCTAAAGGAGGCGTTTGACTGTTACACGGATGCAAGCTGACTATCCAACAGTAAAAACTTGGGCAAAAAACGACAAGTGGGAAAGGGCCACCCTCACAAGGTCACATTACTCAAGTAAAATGAAATAGATAATATTCTAGAAAACCAGTTTTTTATTGCTCTCGATTTTGAACTTTTCTCTGACATAATGAAACTTCTGCTTTGTAAATAATGCATGCTCAAAACAGATGCAACTGCATGAGGAGTATTTAGGGGGAATTTGGGGACTATTACAAGGCAGCTAAGATGCTTTCCTATGTCATTTCTGTTGAGATCCATTTGCCAGCGAAATAATTTTTTCCTCTAATATGGTGTGGATCGCAGCAACAGTGGGTTCAGATGTAACCATTTAGGAGCAGGGGCCTAGCTCAGTATGCCAGGAAAAAAAAAAGAAAAAAAAAACACGCACCACAAAGAACATTGAGATGAATAGCTCTATTTTATGAGCCATAAAAGTTTTATTCATCTTGACACTGAAACAGGTTTAGGCAGTGAGTTGACACGCCTTAAATAAATAAGTGGAATTAATTCCCTAGCCCTTGAAACAATAGCAGCATGCATGTAGCACGGAGAAATGCCCCATTGTTTCCCGTGGCTGCCTGATATTGATATTATTTGTGTTTTTCTGTGCTGCTGCCTCAGGGGCCTGGTTGATCCACTTCAGATTCATCCCCTGTTTTATTAGAGGTTGAAAAAGGTTCAAGACCTGTTTGTACCGCAGCTCCCACCGACAGCTAAGGAACCAGTTTGGCGTCTGGTTTGTCTGTTGTTTTACTGCTGACCTTCAAATCAACTTTAACCCCTGACCTCTGGAGGCATCTATCATGACAAGAGGCTGTTTAACACAAATGGTGCCCATTTATAGGGGAAGAGACTCAGAAGATTTCCTTTTTTTATGAAGAATTTCGTTTTTCACCCCTCTTTTCTCAGTCACCACAGGTGAAATCCCTCTTAGCAGCTGGCTTATGAAATAATGTGAAGGGAGGCCTTAATGAGCAGAAAGCACCCTCAGCTGGAGATAAATATATGCAAATGAGATGCACAAACAAAGGAGCCTGGACAGAGAAATATCTGCAATTCCAGCAAAATGCTGCCTGCAGCTCGAAGATGAACAGCTTTGATAAAATGGTAACAAAAAGCACCTTTTTATCCTCCAGCGTGTTTTACATCGCAATAGACCATTGTCACTGCAGCCCAGTGGAGCATGCCCAGGTTTTCTGCACTGTTTCAGAAAACTGTTTAAACATTTGTTTTAAGGCATTCATGAAATATAATCAATGGGCTGTTTCTGGGTTGTTGTTGTGATTTTTTTTTTTTCCCTGAGTGTGTTTTGGATGTTACTGGAATTAATTTACCTGTTGGTCTTTCCTGGTTTGATGTTGCCAGAGTCTCATGGTGCTATTTCACGTTTTGGTGACTGTCTCTTTCATGGGCTAGAATGATTTTTTTAAAAAATTTCGATGAAAAGAGGTTTCAGGTTAATCACCATTCAGAATTGGCTTTGAGGAAGGGTCTGAACCATGGCAGAGAACAGCACCCAGACAACTACGTTTAATGATGGCAATCAAGTGTAGAGAGCTAATTCAGAGACAGACATGGAACATGCTGATTTTAATAAGCTTTAAAAAGGCAATCTCTAACTTTTAAAAGTCGCTTTTTCATTTAATCGTCCTTGGTTCCCATGGATGCCAAAAACAAACAAAACCATTAAAATATGCTTTCAATATGTATCTGCAGTGTTATTGGATGGTGTCTTAAAATTAGCATTGTGTTGGGAAAGTGTCAATTTGATAAGCTTTAAAATGGAAAGGCTAAAATTATCAACCTGTTTTTTTTTTTTGGGGGGGGGGGGGACACTTTTGAAATTGTTTAATAATCCCTAAATGGGAATTGAACCCCAGCCCGAGATCTTGCCAGAAAGGGGCTGGACCCATGACATGAAAATTGCTGCGTTTGAACATATGTTTAGGTTCATCATCAAAGCAGTTAAGGTGAGAGAAGAAACCCTGTACACTGCACGTGTCAAAATGCTGTCGCTCTGAGAGCTCAGCAATATTGGGTTCTTTCATTTACAATCCCATCCGCGCGCTCTGCGGCAGAGGCGCGGCTGATCTCTCCGTTTTCCTTTACCTAAATTATTTCATCTTGCTAGCGTGGCTTGGAGTGGAGACGTTTCTTCTGAATACTGTGTAGCTTTCACGTTTTATGTGCATTTCATCAGGCAAATGTCAAATTTGCTAATAACAAGAAAATCTCCTCATTTTTAATCATGCCACTCCTGTTGCATAGCGGGGTAGGGGAGGGGGGTGCGGCAGGGGGTGGAGGAGGGAGCATAAACGCATTGAGCAGCCTGGCCAAAGGGAGCAAGGAGAAAACGCTTTCTGGGGCTTTAAAATGCCACATGCTTGGCTATCCCAGGGTCTGCATCGGCGCGCCATTGCGTTCAGAATTTCAGGAGTTAATAGAAACTTGGTTATATTAGGGATGCTTTTTCAAGCCCAGGTTTGAAGCCGCATAATTATGTCCAACTGCTGTTGTTTGAAAAGGGCAAACAGCATCTTAGGCGCAGAACAATGAAATTACAGCTGAGATTTAGGTTAGCAAAAGCCGTCTTCTCTAGGCTTTTATGATTCATTATTTCCCATTAAATACAGTATTAGAAGTGTACACTAGATAGCTCATGGTTGCTGCTCTCGGAGCACATTATCTATATTACACAGGTCTGGGGAGCAGAATTAGAAAACTTTGGGGGAATGAGCAATATGTGTTTGCTGATAGAAGTACCATATGGCTCATCTTCTTCAATTGCTTTCATTGCGACTCTGATGCTGGAGAAATTAAAGTTTTATTTGATGTGGCACAGCTTAATGAACTGTCTTCTGTTAGGAAAATTGAATATGTTTCCTGTTATTTGAGCACAGAGCCTCCATGGTTTGGCTGATGAGGGATGCATTATGTATTGTTTATTTAGCATTTTGAAAACAAAAGCAAGATATTGAAGGTAAAATTGATTACTGCTGGATTGCATTATATAATCAAGTTTTCTCCCTTTAAATTTCCCTTCACAATCCTTGGGTAATGTTTCAAGGGGAGATTGTTCCAGGGTTTTGTTTTCACAGTATGCAGGGCGTGGCTTTTATCACGATACCTTTGTTTGTAAACAAGCCACAGGGAACTCCAAACCCAGGGCAGTTATATTTACAGAGTTCAAAGAATGATGTTTGGGAGAATGAAAATAATTCAATTCCTGTGACTCTCATTGCAAAACTTCCAGGGAGCCCGCAATCAGTTTTGAGAGAATCTAATATTTGCTAGTTGAAAGGGGGATGTCACTTTCTTTTGTCTGAAATAAGCCACTTAAGAACCAGGGTGGGGCCATCAGAGAAGGGAGAGATGTGGGATATTTGGAAATACAAACCTCAAAATATCAAGTTTTCGATTTTTGAGTTCGTCGCCAGTGAATGAAAGGCTGGACTCAACCTGTGCATTTAAAAGATGAAGCATATAGCCCATGAATATAGGTTGTCTACTGAATGAATACGATGAGAGAAAACATCAAACAGAAATATACTTACATGATGAGAGACCTGCGTGTCAACCCGTGGGAATGCTTGCTCTCCACTCCCTGAAGAATCTGCAAAGAAAGATATTTAGCATTTTGCTCAGTAAGTTTTGTTCCAGTATTTTTTTTTTTTTAGTAATAAAAAAAACAACAACTGAATAACCTAAAAAGACTGAATATAAAATCATCTTCTAATCACTGTGTTTCTTTCATTTCTCAGTGAGGAATATACCCCACATGGGCTGAGGACTTGGGCTCACCGATCTGCAGCAAACAACGAGGATAAAAAAAATAGTTAAAATGAATCAACATTTATCTGGATTATACAATCCTGACCTTAAAAAAAAAAAGTCATTTATCTTCTGTGTCCTGTGATGTTTTGAGGATTCTGGCAAATATGGCAGTTAAACAAACTTCTCTCACAATCTAAATACTGTCTGTTCAAGAGAGGCTTCCAATGTTTATAGGCCATAAGTAAAGAAGAAGGGAAAAGAAAAAAAAAAAAAACAATCTGGTATTTAACCAAGAATAGTGCTCTTGAAAATGTCTCTGAACAAAGTGTTTAAGCAAAACTTTGGCCACAGATACTCTCCATTCCTCATTCTTCCTCTGATTTTTTTTCCTGCAAGGAGGTATTTTCATATGCCATCCTTTCGTTCTTCTTCTTGAAATTAACAAATTAATCTCAAAAAAATTAACGCCTGACTAGTGACCTGGTCAAACCAACTTCCTTTAGAAACAGTGGAGAAAAAGAAAAAAAAAAAAACACATCACAGATTATGAAGCCCATCTCCTGCCAGGGGCCTCGGAGGAGGAACACCATGATGCATTGTTATCAGCATGGCGTAATTTGCCTGTTGACAAAGTATCCGTGGCAGTGAGAATGAGCGCAGTTAGAAGTGTGGCGGATTGTAATCAAGGAGATGCTTAGCTGTGCAACACTGCATCTTGAGCAGATTTGAATCAACATTGCCTTAAGGGGACACACACACACACACACACACACACACACACACACCAAAAGGGGGGGAAATCCATTAATTTTTACAGGGAAAATTAGAGTGGCACTTGATGAAGTGAAATCTGACATGCGTTAATTGCTCTGCAGTTCTCCTAATTAGAGATCTTCAAATTCTTTTACTGCTGTCACCGTGACGCACATTGTCTCCCTGGACAAATACTGAAATGGCAACTTCGTCTGATCAGGAAGTTCTCCCCAGGCAGACCAGACTGTCTCCTCTCGTCCATTTCCCAAAAGGGGGGCAGCTGGAGAGCAGAGAGGGATTTTCGGCTTTACCTGCACTGCAGATAAAAAACGGGCTTATTAAAATGGTTTTGTTATGAGACTTAATGTCCAGGAAGCAGGTGCTGATGCATTTTTCTTAAACAGCTGGAAATGTTCCTTTGATACTCATGCCTCTGTTTCGCATGAAATATTTCAGGTTGCGGGGGCGGGGGCGGGGAGGGTGGGGAGCCAGGGAAAGGCTGCGTGACATACACATTCTCATATTTCTACTTATATTCCTCAGAAATTGGAGAGAGGCGGGTTTGAAAGGCCATGTCACTTTTTTCCCAGCTCTGACGTCTCAGGCAGCAGCCCTCCTGCTGCCCCTCCTTTGCCTAAAGTAATTACACTGCTCTTGGGGCCCCAGGATGGCACCAAATATGACACCATCATAATTTTTGGTTTCCCTCTTTCAACCCCTCTTGTGTAGCCCTTGAACCTCTCTTAATTCATTAACATATTGAATTTTTTTTCAATTTCCCATTTTCTTGCAATAACAATATTAATTCCGGGGTGAGAGCTTGATTGGAGCTAAATTACTTGTTACCTGCTGGCATTTATTTATATGGCATTGAATTATAAAGCTTTGCTATTGTCATGCCTTGGGCGAATTGTTTATGACACCAGTAATAGGAGTAATTGTTATTGTTGAAATTACCTGTCAGCTACCCATAGCAGTGGCCCTTGTCCCACTGACAAATAGTGACAAGGGAGAGGTACCCTCCGTGCATCCCCCTGATGGCTTCTCCTCTGATAATAAGAAGTGCAGGGCCTCTGATAATTTGCCTGTCACTGTTGAGTGCAGCTCAGAGAGAGTTGGCCAAATTGTTGTCATTCACTTTGACAAAGACAGCAAATGCCCCTGTGCAAGGAGGAGGATTATCAAAATAAATGAAATCGCTTACACCCCCTTTGTTTGTTTGGCTCGAGAATTGCCTGGCTTTGTATGAGGTGGTGAGACCGGGGGCCAGTTCCGATAGACCTCTGCTCATGCCAAGGCGAGGATCCCAGGGAAAGAAAGAAACTCTAGAGGACTCGCTGTTTTGCGATTTGCTATTTGCTATTAAAATTATATTCAGATATAAAAAGTCAATAAAATTGTAACAAGACATCTAAATATTTGGTTGGATACACTAGGTTAAAGCACATGTAAAATTTTTCTCTCCTGCCTTCTTTTTATCCCAGGCAGGCATTCAAATTCAACATGCCTTCGAAATTATACATATTTCCCAGGTTGCAATTAAGTTTTATTTTAAAGTAGAAATCTGCACCTCTGATGCAGATTTGGGGGTCAAATTTGGGGTTATTATTTCAAATGGCGAGTTCCTCTCTATAAACCATAGTTTATTTGTGTAGTATCTTCGCGTGTAAAGAGATAAATGAAACGTAGTTCCAGGTCTGAAGCATCAATTATCACAGGCGAACAGAGGAAGCAAAATGACTCTGTGAGCGCCAGAGCTCAAATATAAATATTTGCATTTTAAAATCCCTTGGTTGCAGCCTGTGAACCTGTCCTCAAGGAGAGAAGGGGACAGGGGTGTGGGGCACAGTGTCCTGGAGTGTCCACATCTGGACGAAATGGACTTTACAGCAATCAAACCTTTGCTGTTGTAAAAACCAAAATCACCCTCACCATTCCACCAAAGGCGTCATTTCATGCTAGGAAGATTCTTATTTTTAAGGGGCCTGTGAGGTTATTCCTCATAGATCTTCTTGACAAATACTTGCTGTTATACGAAGCTGAAAAGAAAAGGACAAAATGAGTAGGATAAATGTAAAATATTGGCTCCTTATGGGATAGTAATCAGCTGTTTATTGGTCTCTACCAGACAAGCAATGACCAACCCCAGTGTTAAGTGCCAGCAACACTGCCTTGGGCCCTTCCCTCCTAACACCGGCCATTATCTGATTAGAGAACCTCCAAAGAAGTCACTATTGCATAATTTTATGGGTCTTAACAGCGCAGGTTGGCTGGCAGGAACACTAGCTAGGAGGGTTGATAAAGCAACAGTGAAACATGATTTCATTTACTCCACTTACACCTTGCTCTCTGAAACAGTCCGTATCGCAGATGCTGGTGGCTGCAGGAGAAACCTCAAATTGGTTCCAGTAGGAAGGCAGAAGGGGAGAGACAGGAAAAGCAAAATTATCTATCCCTTCAAGCTTTTCATGAGCTGCACAGTTTGAAGTAGTTAACATCATTATAAGCATCTAGACCTTTTCTGAGGTGTTTTGTATGTCAAGCCAGTAAATCCGTTTTTAGCAGTGCTAAAATCATACATGCAGTCATGTGGTGATGGGAATAAAATGAGTTTCTAATTCTTAATGATAACGGAGTCTTCTTAAGGCGACCACACTCTGGTTAACCATGTTGAATGTCCCTGATTAACAAGTGGAAGGCAGTGACATAATTAAGAGGTTATCTGAGTAATAAAAATGTTCCATCCTGTCTTGGAATGTGATCCCGTTAACAGATAATTTTTAAGAATGTAGCATGTCCTTGCTTTCCCTGTCGAGACACACGTTAGTGATCCCAGGAGGGAAAATAAACATACGTTTTTTAAATGAAGATATTTAAAATGTACCCCATATTTCAGCGTGTTGCTATAACCTGGTCTTTTTTATGTTCCTCCTATAAAACCTAAATTAAGCCTCTTAGGAGTGGTTTTGCTGTAGGTCTCGTCTAACAGCACAATACGTTTTAAATGGTTGCAGTACTTGAGTGCACTTTAACATGCAATCAGGAAGGTCCATTTTCTCCCCTCCCTTTCCAAGCAGCAGCTCTTCGGAAAGGATGAGGCTCCTTTAAAATGTAGCTTCATTGGAAATGTAAACTTTTAACAAATAGTAATTGCTCAAGTAGCTCTATTGATGAAGTGACTGGCAGCAAATCTTTTCTTTCTCTCTCCCTCTCTCCTGTAACATTTTGAAACACCCATCAGTGTCAAAGGAAACTGTACACTCTCCTTTGCTGCTCTAAATAAGGCTCAACAATGTTAAGAAAAATGTCAGAAAAAGCTCTCTGGATTAAAGTAACATTTCTGCACCATGTCACGGAGAATGGCAAGCAGACCGGTCTGCGTAATTCTGAAAGATACTTTTCGTAAAATGCTTACTCTACAAGCCCAAGGAAATTTTATTTGGAAAGACTGAAGATTGTATTGAGAACGTACAGCACTCGGTTGTTTTCCTAAATCTTGTTATTCCGTAATGTGCCTTTGGTATGTATGTTTAAAATTAGAACAATGATACCCAAGTCTCTTTGTAGAATGCTTCTCCACCCGCGTGCGGCGTTAAAATACAATGTGGAGTCTTCAATGCATTTTTCTTTCCTTTCTAAAATTCCTAGGGTGTTCATTCAGTGAAAGCAGTAAAAATGCCAGGCTCTTACACATGCAAATTCATTGAACTAATCAGTCCTTTTTCCCCTTAAATAAAATTTGTATATATCTGTGGAGATTTGCAAAAGAGTTCATTTATAGTTAAAAAAAATAAAGCACTTACATTTCATTCATGTATTAAAAATAAATGACTGGTTGGAGGTTTTTAGTTTGTTCTGTTTTCTTTTTCTAAGGAATATTCAGAAATTGCAAGAGTTTAATGGTAGTAAAATATCTCAGGGTATCACAGGTATGTAATTAAAACTTAGCAGCTAAAAAAAAGAAAATATCTTACAAGTTCAATACTAGATACCAGTGGACATGGCAATCTTTGTTTTACAGAAACAAGGTAAATCTCAGCTGATTTTAAGTGTAAACTTTTTCAAAACAGGTTAAAAATGAATTTAGACAAATTTGTCTCTTAACCTTTAAAGATTTC